TATCAAGTTGGTTACCAGTCGATCGAACATCAATCGCCCCCCAAAATAATTTAAAGGAAATTTGAGTAAAATGACATCGATTTTAGTTGTTCCCAAGGATAGATCTTCAAAATACTAGAGTATGAGAGAAATCTAATTTTGAGCCCCATATTGACCTGGAGGTTTTTACGGAGACAGCCTCTTAAAAGTCTTCCCTCTGTTACCAACGTTCGATGAAAGACAGGATAAGATGTCGCCAAATATCGATCGAAATTCATCACCAAAACAGCGAAAAATGAGAAAACGAGGAAAATACGTTTCGATATTAAGGAAATCTGAGCCCATCTAGCATTTCCAACCAACTTTTCCGTCAACCATGACATCGTGATAAGGGCCATTAATGGATTATTTGTTAAAACCGCGACCAAATCACAACAGGACAAGACCATTATCATGAAATAACATAATTTCTTTCGAAGTTGTATAGACCTCCAGAAACTAAGTATGTCAAGTATGACCAAGAAATTTAAACATGTTCCTGAGAAAAAGAAGAATATGTTCTCAGAAAATATGAATATCAGATTGATGAAATAATAAGATTCGATTTCGAGCGACTTCTTCTGAAGAATGAAACATAAAACTAAACGTTGTGTTTTAATATGAGACCTGAATTTCAAGTACTCAAGTGTATGAATGACATATACAAGTAAACTAAACATTTAATTATGAAAAAATGGTAATATGAGGAAGACATAGCATGTTTCTGTGTTTGGAAATATTTCATATTTTATTCGTACAATGCAAGCTCATGGATGTTGTGTACAACACAGAACGAGTTCGTCATACTGATTTAGAACTGAAATAGCTATCCAAACAATACAAATAAAGTTAGTTTTGTTTATAGGTTTCATCCAGTAGTGATCCTGAATCAATATAAGAGATGACCCTTGCTGGACCTCTAGGAAAAACAGTTTAGAACAGAAGTTTATTTCTTTAAATAAGTATACGTTTTTAGCCTCATGGTTCTTAATAGCCTGATCTTATGTGTTTAACTCGGCAGTAAGATGAAACGAGGTGTTAGCTTGGGCCATCTGTCCCCTCAAAACAAATGCCTCGCCCTGCTCTCGAGTTGTTTTCCAAAACTGCAAATACTAATAACTATTAAGGTACGTTTTAATTATACATGTTGACAGGATGAGACTTTACATAACATTAATATAAGACCTTTTCATATACTACGGCAATAAATATAAAATCCTTTTGACGTTGTTCGTAAATGTATAAAATTTACACTGGAAATTTCCATCTACAAAATCCTTCAACATTATTCTTCAATCAACTGAGATGCCCAAAAATCATCATAATAATATGACCCGACTCCCCCCCCCCGTGCTCTACACTTTTCTTTAGGATCAATTTTGCAATTATTTCAACTCGTAGGATAAACTGGGGGGGTTGTAACCTCTTAATGTTTTCATCCATGATATAAAATACACCAAATCAGCTGTGGGTTTTACATTATCATAAAACGTGTCTAAAATGCATGAAAATCCTAAATCTTTTCCGAGAGACCATCTCCCCTCCCTGCTCCCACCTTTGAGGGTGGCCACGCCGCTGTCCCCCAAAATTACGGAAGCTCCCCCATCAATAATAAAGATATAAATAGTTTGGTCTGTGGACGTGACTTTGATCAGCATAATACTTCATGTAGAAAGTCTTTGAAGTTTGAAAAGTCAAAATAATCAGTGGACATACTAATGCTTGGATTTTAATACGTTGAACTATCCAGGTGGACTCTGTAGTTCAGCTGGTTAGAGTGCTGCACTGGAATCACAGGACCACAGGTTTGATTCCTGCCAGGGGGTCTATATATAGTTGCAATTTTCCCAACTGCTCCTGGTTGCCTCTTAATAAATGAATAAAATTTACACTCAAAATTGTCGTATTATTATTGTATGAATTTCAAATGTGCAATGGTAAAAGTTTATTAATTTTTATAATTTATTTTTTAATTTTAGTAATTTGTTTTTTTTTGCTAGTCGTAGTAACTTTATAAACTTTTATAAACTTTGCTAAAACAGTAAAAGGTTTATTAATTTTTAAATTTTATTTTTTTAATTTTAGTAATTTGTTTTTTTGCTAGGCCATTGTATATAAAAATGTAATATTTTAAAGTTGTGTAAAGTGCATGATTATCTATAATTTTCGTTCAACGTATATTATTAGTTTGCAAATTGCAGTTTTGCCTTTTCAAAAACAATTTGAGAACAGGTACGATGGTGAGACATGTAAATGAATGTTTGTTTTGAAATTACGTCAAGTGGCCCAAGCGAAAAGCACTTTTCGTCAAGTCATTAATTACGAAATAAAATGGTCGCTGTATATGAGAGAAACATTATATAGACATTGCAAGTTCTCTGCAAACTTCAGGTTTCGTAAAATGTTTTATTCACAAAATTTCCTTGTCTAATGACGAGTTGAATCATCTATAAATTAGTCGCCAAGACTAGATTATTCTTATTTTGATTATTTGAGTATTCTTTTGACAGCTATTCCTTGTTGCTCTTTTAAATTTTGACTATTCTTTCAGAGAATAATTTCAACACTCAGACATACGCGTTTGCAATTATCATGGAACGGCAGTAAAATCGGCCATTTTAAATTGGTCATGTTAATTCAGTTTTTAACGCAATGATTATTGAGAAAAATATCTCATTCGATAGCTAAATGCCTAATCTTTATTAGGATGGGAAAATTAAATCTATATTTAGCCATTAACGCATGCAATAATATGGCAAATTTTTTATACACTATGTATATAATGAAATAATTTAAAGAAATGGAAGCATTTTTATTTTTAAACGTTTTATTCGACTATATGCTGTATTGGACAACCATCTAAGCAACATGGGGGAAGAAACGTGCCTTTTGAGACTGTTGGCGCACCGAGAAATCCTTTCGAAGCAGCCAAACGTAGGAATACATGCTCTGGTCAAAATGAAGGAGCGCCTGGAAGAAATATCAGTGAAAATGTTCCTACAAGAACACGCAGAGACCAGCATCAACAAATTGCAAGTCAGTCAAATCAGACTTGAGTTGGATAGTTTAATCCAAACAACTACAAAAATGTCGGTCGAAGGCGAACATATCGTTGGTAATGGCCGTGTGTTTGAGGACATGGCCCCTTTAACTCACAATTGTTCGTACAATACTCAAGCCAAAGATATGGGGTTTGAATCGATTGCTGACACTTCGTCACTCGAAGAACTTGAAGACTTCATTGATAGCGCATATTATATTGCGAATGTCGCAGCCACGCCGAATTTTGCTCAGACAGCCAGCTTTTCTACACCATTTCAACAACGAGCTGATGATATCCCGACTATAGCCGAGGCACAACTCCTTACATTTAAAGAAAAAATAGAGTCGCAAATAGAAAAATTGTTGACTAAAGTGTCTGAACAAAATCATATTATTGACACAAATAAACAAGAGCTGTGCCGATTAGGAAACGAGAATTTGAATTTAAAGTCACGCATTACCGACCTAGAGGAGAAAATGATGATTAAAGACTCGGCTTCCATAACCTTTTCAAGTCCCTCAAAGCCATCTTTACAAGATGAGAAGTCCTTTAACAGTCCTGACAATGTAAATCCCCAACACGATGGATCAACTAAAATAAATCACCCATCTGGTGCATTATCAACCCCAGTTAATGTAGATAACCTGTCCGTTGAGGAAAGTTTCCCTACAGTTATCATTGAAATAAAGAACAGTGCCCTATTATCCACACAACAATCTAAGACTACAATCAACTCCTTCAAAAAAGATTACTCATAAAGCCTGAACCGCGAGCCTTTTCAGGCTAAGAATGTTTTAAACTATTTGCCCTTATGCGAAGATCTAAGTATAATCGAAGATGTTTCTGCAAACCTCACTTTTGACGAAAATGAATTAGATCAGCGTGAGCAGGATTTATCCGATGGGTGTCAACATTTCAAGCAACGTGGGAAGCAAGGCATATGTAGGAATTGCGACCGATCCTATGCAAAAACCGTGTTAAGCCTTGATGCCCTTAACCCTGACCAGGTGAATCCCCGATCGGATAGGTCAATCAGCGAGTCAAATCTAAAGCATTTTTCGTTCCCTCATCTTCCAGCCCCGAGACCCTCAAGTCTTAGACACGGTCAAGTTACAAACCCCTTAGGGTTTCGAAGGCACCATTGTAGCCGGTATCCTTTTTTAAAACGTTGTCGTGTCATTCCTTCGTATCGGACAGCCCACCGCCACCACTCTCTAGAGTGGTTGGCCCATCTCCACACAGTGGCCTGTTTGACGAGTCAGCAGCAGACAATATGATGAAAATACCTGTTAGAATCACTTCACGTCAGAGACCATCACGTCAGAGACTATCATATCAACTAACCATTAATAATTCTTCTAGTGTTAACAATAACTTGCAAAATAGAAATCTTGTTCGTGTTCCTTTGTCCAACCCTGCCTCTCCAAACGCTTCCGCACTCTCGTGGTCACTCACGTCGAAAACCACTAATGATACGGCCTCAGCCCATTTAACAAAAAAGTCAGATAACAGCCTCAGTACCCTTCCAGGTCTCAAACTGGTCCACCTAAACATCCGCTCTCTGAAAAATAACGCCCATTTTTTAGAATTACGTAAGTTTACCAAATTTAACAAAATTGACGTCCTTACAGTATCAGAGACATGGTTAAATACCTCCGTCACAAACAAGGAAATAGAAATCGAAGGTTATAAGCTACATCGTTTAGACCGACTGCACAAGAAAGGGGGCGGGGTATGTGCTTACATACGAAAAGATATTAAATCTCTTGTACTTAAAGACCTCAGTTATATCTCCGAGACGAATTTCCATCAATTATGGATCAAATTACAGCACAAAAAATCTAAATCACTGTTGGTCTGTGTCTCTTATCGACCCCCAGACAGCCCGCTTGACTGCTTCGAAAAATATTTTAAACCTAATTATGTTCATGCTCTGACGATGGGAAAGTTGATCATTCTTCTTGGAGACCTAAACTGCGATATGCTTAAGCCCACACCTGGATCAGCGTCTTTGATCAAGACGACAAAAGAACTCAACCTTAACCAGTTAATAAAATCACCAACAAGAATTACTGAATCCAGTCAGACCCTCGTCGACGTTATTTTCGTATCCTCGCCAAGACTAGTAGTTAACAGCGGCGTCATAGAAACCTGTATCAGCGATCATTTCCCTGTGTATGTATCACTAAAACTTAAAACCGACAAATCTCCACCAAACTATATCACTACCCGCAGCTACAATAAATACGACCCTGATTTGTTCGCGATCGATCTAGCATCCAACCGTGATCGTCTTGTTTCCATTTTCAGAATGGACAATGTTGATGAAAAACTAACCATTTTTAATGAAATATTTTTAAATACATTGGATAAACACGCCCCAGTAAAGACCATAAAAGTACGCGGAAAATCTTGCCCATTTATCACCCCGGAAATAAAAGCATCCATGATCAAAAGAGACCAGCTCCACAGTCTTTTCAGGAAAACACGTGATCATTATGATTGGCTTAATTTCAGAGAGGCCCGCAATTTTACAAAAACCGCACTTGTTAATGCACAGAAAGAATATGTACTGAAGGAAGTTCAGCAACACAGAAACAATACTGGGTCACTTTGGAAGGTAATTAAAGAAAATATAGCGTATAGGGAAAGAGAGTCAGTGGTCTACAGTAAGGAACCGAAATTAGTGGCCGAAGAGTTTAATCATTTCTTTTCCACCATTGGTGTGAATGCAGCAAAGAAAGCCTCAACACTAATACAAGATCCTAGTGTTTATCCAGCTCGGAATCTTTCTGACGTAAATCGCACAGATAACAGCTACCCTGAAGAAAATGATAGATTTAGTTTCACCCCAGTCTCTTGTTCAGAAATAAGGAACATCTTATTAGCTATGCCGTCAAACAAATCACCCGGCAAAGACAAAGTGAGTATGCGTGTCATCAAACACAGCCTACCGGTAATTCTTGGGCCCCTCACCGATATCATTAACTGTTCACTGTCGTCATCTTCGTTCCCTATAGCATGGAAAGAGGCAGAAGTTATCCCTTTGTTAAAGGATGGAAACCACGAGGAAGCATCAAATAACCGCCCACTTTCTCTCCTTACCTTTCTTTCGAAAATTTGTGAAAAAGTCGCCTTGAATCAATTTGGTTCGTATCTAATGAAGAACAAAAAATTGTCAACCCACCAGAGCGGGAACAAGAAACATCACTCATGCGAAACATTGAATCTTTTGACCGGAGATACTATCCTAAAGGCCATGGATGGGAAATTGGTTACTGCACTGATTCTAATAGATCTATCTAAAGCTTTCGACAGTGTAAATCATACTTTTCTCCTTACAAAACGTAGCAACGTCGGGGCTTCTCCAAGCGTTGTGAAATGGTTTGAGAGTTACTTGACCGGAAGAACTCAATCAGTCAGAATTGGATCTACTGTGTCTACTCCTCTCCCTGTTTTTTATGGTGTACCACAGGGTGCAATTTTATCACCTTTACTTTTTAGTATTTATACTAACGATTTGCCCTCATCAGTCCACCATAGTAAACTTGAATCGTACGTGGACGACTCCAAGATATTACTATCTTTCACTGTGGCTAACGTGGACTGTTTAAAGCAACAACTAGAGGAAGACTTGTATTTGATTGCAAACAGTTGTTCCGAAAATGAATTGCTTATTAACCCGGGAAAGACCAAATACATGCTGATTGGCACACGGCAAAACCTACAACAACTTCCCGTAGATATGACCATAAACTTCCTCAACGAGACTATTACCCAAAGATCTAGGAATGACAATCGACTCTTATTTGACATATGACCAGCATATCACCAACCTGGTTTCCTCATGTATGAATTCCCTGTGCCAAATAAACCGAGTCAAAAAATGTTTCGATAAAGAAGCTTTAACTCTCATCGTCTCGGCACTTGTAATGAACAAAATGTTCTATTGTTCAACGGTTTGGTCAAACACTTCGTCTACCAACATTAAGAAACTACAGTTGGTACAAAATTTTGCATGCAGGATAATAACAAATATTGAAAAGTTCGACCATATTTCGCCGGGCTTGCGCGAACTTAACTGGCTCCCAGTAAAGGAACAATTACTACTAAGAGAGGCTATTATGATGTACAAATGTGTCAATGAACTTGCTCCACATTATTTGAGCGATTTATTCACAAAACGTTCTGACATTCATCAACGAGATACACGTAGCCATGACTCACTGCAAATACCATTGTACAAAACTTCTGCAGGTCAAAGGTCCTTTCATTATAGAGGCGTTACACTCTGGAATGATTTAGACATAAAGTACAAAAAGTTAGACTCCCTAAAAACTTTCAAAAACGAACTGAAGCGAAGCATGCTAGAACAAATATATAAGTAGATAATTTTACCTTGTTAAATTTTATACAAATGTCTTACCTTTTTACCTTAATTTAAATTCTAGATTCTAAAACTTGTAAATAGAACAACATTTATTTTTTGTAAATCAGTGTTGAAAATCCCTATTTAGGGAACACAATAAAGTATGTATGTATGTATGTATGTATGTATCAGTCCATGCATGAATTCGAATTTGAGACCGAAATTGAGTCAAGCAGCTTACTGTGCTTAGAAGATAAATCGCCTTTCCCGTCAAGAAAAGATCCGGAACTGTGTGATGAAATAAAAAATAGCTCTCGACCTCAGAAGCAGCCGATTGAAACAATTGGAGCTGATGATGTTGGAACCACGTCATTTCAAGAGAAAAAAGATTCTGCCATGGATGCTCCATTGCTGGAAATGGAAGATACAGTTGACGTCACTTTGCAGTCTCAAACGTCAGAGATGGATACTGATTTTGTCAGTGATAATAGCGAGTCTACCGAATCTAGTGACGCAGAAGATGAATTGGAAACATTATGGGTTACTTGTGCTGGGAAACTCCAACATATGATGAACAGTCTAGATCGAACAGGCCATTTAATGTTAGATGAGATGAAACAGCCAAGCATTCCTAATATTGAACAATTTGTTCTCTCGGTGAGCGAGCTTGCAGAAAGTATGGAAAATCAAAGCAACGAATTAAAGAAATGTGCAAAATGCTGTTTGGAAAAAATAAAGAAAGAGAAAAGCAAAGGATCACTTTCTAACGAGGAAGTAGCTGTTTTGATGGAGCGTGATCCAGGAAAGCGCGGCGAAATTCTATCTGATAATCAACGAGAATTTTTAATCAATATGGGTCCTTGCCAACCAAAATTAGCGACTTTCCCAACTAATGATAATGTTGCGTCTGGCAAACACAACAGGTTTTCGTCCCAATGGTACAAGGAATACCCTCACCTGGAATACAGCGTCCATAACGATTCAGCATTTTGTTTCGTGTGTTGCCTGTTCCCTGAAGGAGTTGGGAGAGCATCAGCAGATAAATCATGGATAGTTAATGGAGTTAGACAGTGGCATAAGATGAAGAGTGTCGGAACTAAGAAGAAAGGAAAACTGGCGCAGCATTTCACGAGCCAGGGACACAGAGAGGCATTAAAAGACTTCGCCGCATTTATGAATCCTAATCAAAAGGTTGATGCGCTTTAGGATTCATGTCGTCGCCAGGAATTAATCAAGGAAGCAGATGATGCCACACTCAACACGAGAGTAGTCAGTATCCTTTGTGATATTGCACGCACTTTAGCTATGCAGGATATTGCGTTTCGTGGAGAAACAGATGAATCCAGCAACTTCTACCAAGTGGTCCAGTTAGTCAGCCGCCATTGTTCCCTACTGAAATACTGGCTGAACGAGAAGAGAATGCATCCTTATCATGTCACATATATGAGCAGATGTTCTCAAAATGAGTTTATCAAGCTTATCGGTGATGCAGTCCGAGATCGAGTTGTCAAGAAATTAGAAGAAGCACCAGCATTCTCAGTAATGGCTGATACGACGCCCGATGTGAGCAATAAAGATCAAATGTCCATCGTTGTGAGGTACGTCGCAGATAATACGCCAGTGGAGCGTTTGCTTTCTCTTACAGTGCTTGAAGATAAATCTGGCGATGGACATGCAACAGAAATCTTAAGATGTCTCAACGAGCATGGCATCAATGTGGAAAAGCTCTATTTCCAGTCATATGACTTTACAGCATGCATGTCTGGAGAGTACAATGGTTGTCACAAGAAGCTCAACGACAAAATCCAAAAAGATTTCCCAGAGAAAGAAATTCCTTACATCCCGTGCCAAGCTCATCGGTTGAACACATTTGTCGAGCGAAGTTGCAAAGCTAGTACCATCGTGTCATCAATGTTTACCGTCCTACAGTTATTATACTCGTTCTTCTCAAGCAGCACCAAGCGGTCTGAAGCGCTTGCAAAAGCACAAGAGATCATCGAAGGGGCATTAAAGCTGCGGAACCTCTCCCAAACCCGGTGGATAGCAAGATCGGAATCTATCGACAGCGTTTGGATTTCTTTTGAATGTGTAGTTTCTCTGCTTCAGAAAATCGTAAACAAAGAGCTGAAATCGGACACGAATACGCAAGATCAGGCCAAGGCACTTCTGAAGAAAATGAAAAAGTATGATTTCATTTTCAGCCTTGGGATAATGAAATTTATCATGCGTCATTGCAAGTTGCTCGCCGTTCAGCTTCAGGAAGGTTTAAACTTGCTTGATGCTATTAGTTTGGTCTCCACAACAACTAAATCTCTGGAAGGGATCCGTAATGAAACTGATGTAAATAACCAAGTGAAGGCCGCTGTGGAGATGGCAAGGCAAGTCGGATGCGACCCAGAGCAAGAATTCAGCAAAAATCACCGGAAAAGAATGCCCCCACTAAGACTGGATGACAGGCGTGAAAACGAAGCTGAGGTGGGTTTTGCCAGTTTTTATCGAAAGGAAATGTTTTCTGTTCTTGATCAGCTTATCGCAGATTGTAGAGAGAATTGGAACAGGGTTTTTGCGAATATTAAACCATTCTCAGTCTTGCTGCCCCCCTGGGAGGAAGTAAATGAAACATCGGCAGACAGCTTGTGTATGTTGCTAGGCGGAAGCATAACAAGCGGAAACTTATTGGGAGAGCTGAGTATCCTGAGATAAACGACGGAATACCGTTAAAACCTCAGTCAGTTCAAGATGTTGCTGCCTTTGTAAGCAAAAAAGGGCTTGTTTATCCTGCATGTAAGATGGCCCTTACTTTTCTCCAAACCGCACCGGTCACTGTTGCTTCCAGTGAAAGATCGTTCAGCAAACTTAAATTGGTAAAGAACAAACTTCGTAGCACAATGCTTCAAGATCGGTTGGAATCTCTGATGCTAATTTCAAGTGAAAGAGATATTTCAAAGGGATTGGATCTGCGAGCAGTTGTTCAAAATTGGGTAAATTTGAAAAAAAGACGTGTTCGATTAAACACGAGCAAGTTAATAGATTAATTAAAACATAGACAAATGGAAAAGTTATTCATAACGGACAAATAGAATAATTTACGCAGCTTATAATAACGTAGTTTTAATATAAATCTCAAGTTAATGTTAACTGTTTTGTTTCTATGTGATGAACAAGAACCATCAAAACTTAATAGAATTTCACTATGTGTATGTCATCTTGCAGTTTGTATTTTTCAGACCTGTTCTAAACTTCGCATTTTACATGTGTCGAATGCATTCAAAACAATAGATAATCAGCTGAAATGCCTCATTATCCATTGTTTTCAATGCATTCGGCGCATATGAAATGCGACGTTTAGAACACTCAGGCTTCATTTAGCGTACAATATAAACGGGCGTAATTTAGTTGACCTCCTTTGGAAATTTTACAAGCTTCCATGAATAGCATGTGGTCGGTACAAACTCGTTTGTCAGTCGGTTCAAATGGACTTACACCCCCCCTGAAAAATTTCCTGAGGACGGCCCTGTAAATACACTTTCACATTTTGTACGATATTTAATATATGATATACCATGGGAACTAAAGTGGTTTCTATGGTCGATTCCAGCTATGGACTAAATTGTGATCCAGGCAAGAAAGGCGAAATCTGTCATTGTAGCTCAAAAGAACATCCTAAAATTAGTTTGGTTGCGAAAAGTTGTAAAAGACGAAACATATAGCCCTGTGAAATTAGCAAATTTTGAGTATTTTAGTTCTTTCGGCTCAAAAGTGGTGTATTTTACCGCGCGTAATACTAAAATACTCAAAATTTGCTAATTTCACAGCGCTATATTTCCCTATTATTTTGTCCTTCTTGCCTGGATCAAAATTTAGCCTATAGCTGGAATCATGCACTGCCACTGGAATTATATAAATACAAGTGGAACCCCGCGTTACAGCCACTCCATTAATACAGTCACCTCCACATTACGGCGACTTTTTTTGTCCCCGAAAAACACCAAGACAATAATACATTAGTCTTATACGGATACCCCGTTAATACGGCCACTCTGTTAATACGGCCAATTTTTTTCGGCCCGTCCTTGGACGTATTAACGGGTTCCATTGACTGGACTTTAAAATTGAACAGAAAACTCTGAGCAGAATATAAATATGAACAAGCTACTGTACTTTTGAACAGAATAAAGATTAAAGTTAATAAAAGGTAATTAGAAGGGAATAAAACTAAGTAGATTATAAAACTCCAAAATTTAATAATAATACCTTTGAAACGAAAAAACTAAACGAATTATTTCAGCATAATAATCCATCCCAAACGCACTATACTGTACGTAATTTAAATCGCACTATAGTGGATTTAATTCGCACTAGGAATTAAAAATAGCACAACTGTCAAAATTACTGCACACGCGAGTGCATAAAGTAAAATTTAATGCACAACAACAGTAACATGATCTATTAGCAATTCGATTTCAATTCCCAGGGGCCTAAAATCTTTTATGTTTATATATCGAATCTAGACCATAGTCTTTCGAGACATGGTCTGGAAAGTCAGTAAACTTCAAAGCGGTTATAATGAGCTGTGTGTTTATGTTGAGCCGTACCTTACACCGTGCACATCCTTTGTTTTAGGTTTATTAATATTTAAATAGCATGGTTGAATGACTGACTGAAACGTTGCTATTGGATGATTCGCTCATTATACTGAAATACAATGTGTTCATTGACCGTGCACAAAACTGCATAAACGCGAACAAAAATATAGAACACAAAGACTTTAGCGGAGTTTCCAGACCATGTTTTGAAAGACTATGTCTAGACTAACATGCATGCGGTGGCAAAAATTTAATACTAAAGGGGTTTTCCAGTCCTCGCACGAAGCTCCTCGCAGCTCGCTGCGAGTGCTTGCATCTAATTAAAATGAACTGTTTAGCATTGTGATTGGATGAAAGTGCTCATGCATCACTCGCAGCGAGGAGCTTCGTGCGAGGACTGGAAATCCGCCTTAACTCGAATGCATAGATAAAGCTTAATAACTTGGAAATGTATTAATTAGCTAAGTTACTGTAACTATTATTCTATTTATACTGCGTATTTCCATCAGGAGCAGGTTGTTCGAAAGCCGTTTACCTTAACCCTAGGTTAACAAAATCTTCAAAGCAATCTTCCTAATAGCTTGTTTATAAACATGGAATGTTTTTCTAGAAAACATGTCTGGATCAACAGAAGTTTTATTTTCTGAAGTTTTGATATAAACAGGCATGCAGAAATACACAAACCGAAACAGCAAGTTAAATTTTAACCCACTCATGGTTTGGGCTAATCTAGCTTTGAACAACCGGGGGTTAAACCCTAGGGCTTTAAATGTTTCTCGTAAAGGTCCAGTGAGTCAATCCTTTGGTGTTATAGGTATAGTCAAATCCCCATTTGGTTAGAGTATAAGTATATATACCTCAAGACTCTCTTAATTAACTCAAAAGATTTAATTTTTGAATCTTCAGTATTATATTTCATTTTCCTCAGACTCTTAAATTAGGGACAAAACGTTTAGCGATAAACATCTTGAACAACTTAAAATCGTTATTTTGAACGGTTTTACCTCATGGGAAGACTGAAGGCAGAGACTTTTTTGGTTGTTTTGGTCTTGAGAAAAATACTATGATAGACGACACCTACAGTACCCCGTACTCAACGTCCAACGAAAGAAAATGCAGCAGGCATTATTAACATCTCGCAGACACCTTTTGAACTTATGCAGGTATGTACATTTTAAATTCTCGTTAAAATCCTGACATTTCAATTATACTTAGCTCTCAAAACCTACAATACGATCTTTTTTAGGCACAATCATGATCAGACATTCTGAAGTTATGAATAATGAACCCCGAATAGAAGTTACGAGTTCAAAAACTGTTGACATTACAGTTGACTATACCAAATTAACCCTTTAAAGGGGCGCTACAGTAATTTTTTAGTCGAAAAGCCACCTTAAGTAGGGGACTCCACGGAGATTCGTTTGGCTGTATCTTACATGCAGTATCCATGAGTATGAGTACTTCCGCACACCGGAAGACCATGCATGCCGTGGTGCGCATGTCAAGTAGCGACAATAACAAAAAAATGTAAACAGTACTTAAGGTGGCATTTCGACTAAAAAAATTATTGTAGGGCCCCTTAAAGCCCAAAAGTTTCTTGTGCAGAATTAATTTGCAGTATATATTATATACAGAATGGTTCACATTGTATCTTCATTATCGTTCTATAATGGCCCGTCAGTACGGGATGCCAATGCAACTGGTCTTCTAAACAGCAAAATATGACGTTCTATAAGGAAAAAGAGGTAGAAACAGCGGTGTACTGTAAATAACCTAACCACAATAAAATATAATTGGTATATAACATGCGATTTGGTTGGCTAATGCGCGTGCATTATAACGCAGTATTGTACTGTGGTCTGCGGTACTGCCTTGGTGTTTCTGTGCCCCCCCCCCCTCCCCCCGCTTCAGCTCTGCTTTTTAGAAAAAAAATTAAGCAAAACTAGAGCTTTTAAAATACAACATTGTTCAGAAAGAAGAATAAATAGACTGGAGTAACAAAGCAATTTCATCAGTGGTTTTACGTATAAACTTAACCAGCTTGGCATTCGTCGAATTTGTTTTGTTTTGTCTTGTTAAGTTTTGGACAAAGGGAAAAAAGCCGAGAAAAACTTGAAAAGGTGTGCAGGTTGCGTAATTTCCACACTTATAGCTGTAAGTGATTGGCCAATCAGAAGACACGTAGTGACTACAATGTATAATAATTGGCATAAATCGGCGTCAGTAAATGGCAATTTTTGTCATTTCTACACAAAAGGCACAGTATAATTTCACTACCTGGTTTGTGAATCATATAATGAACCCATCCAGGAGATTGTTGGACGCCAAGATTTCTCCATTCTGTTTCTGTCATAAGATGATCAAGTGGCAACAATGGGACAAGATTACAAGGCAAGATAACATGCCTATATCAAAACGTCAGACGATAATATCATTTCGATAAATTATTAATATTTGACTTGTTGGTATTTTGTGGTGCTGCCTTGAATTCCAAAACTTAAGTTAGTCTTAGACCGCGAGCAGTCCCTCGAAGAAATGAGAGACTGCCGACAACACATTAAGAAACGAAATACGCCCACTTTTCGCTCTTGTCAAATTGGCTCCGCCTTTGCATAAACATTACTATATCCAATTAAATCTATCCAATAAGAAACCGTTAATGTCATGTTTATTTACAGGGTGTATAAAGAAAGGTAATCGAACTTCAGCGCGCTATTGTACCTGAATTACTCGGCGTATGAACATTTTTTTCATATTCGAAAAGATCAGGCTTTTAGCTGTTGAATGACATGTTTTTCATGCCAAGTGGAGAAAAAATAAGCAAATACGAGTTCGATAAAAAAATGTTAGTCAGAATCGCATATTACAACGGTGAAAATGTGCGACTCTGACTAGCATTTTTTTATCAGACTCGTACTTGCTTATTTTTTATCCATTTGGCATGAAGAACATATCATTCAACAGCTAAAAGCCTGATCTTTCCGAAGATGAAAAAATCTCGTTCATACGCAGTAATTCAGACACAATAGCGCGCTGACGTTCGATTACTTTTATTTTGACACACCCTGTATAAAATCAACATTCACTCTGGAAATTATTTATAGCATTACTACATATCAGCTCTGATTGCTAGGCGTATCGATTTTGACCAATGGGAATTTTGCGTTGTGTGGGCAACGCGGTTTCATTTCTTGATGTGTTGTCTGCAGTCCCTCCTTTCCTTTCTCGTGCCCGGAAATCTAAACCCGCGGAAAGGAGGGACCGCTCACAGTCTAGTTAGTCTAAGACTGATAACAAACTTTGATTGTTTCAAACATTTAAAAGCAATATAAATTTACTTTTTTGCACCCCCTTTGACCAATGCTAACAGGGGTGTGCACACATCTCCGTGCACCTCCTCCCCCCTACAAATTCACCACTGAGCATTCCCAATCGTCAAGAAAACAATGCAGGATACATATATCAGGAATCATGATTAATCTTTCAACGCCAATGAATAGGAAAAGGAAAAGAAGAGGAAATACAATCAGCGAATTGTCAAGATCGAACATAGCTCATTCACACCGGTAGTCTTCAGCGCCTTTGGTGGATCTGGAAGGAAACCTATCATTTCCTTTCTTCTTTCAGCGATAAGATAGCGACGAAGAAGAATTTGGCACCCTCCTTAGTTACGAACTGGCTGAGGAGCATGCGTTTACCCCGCTTCGAGTGCAAAACCTTTGCATACGAGGCAGTCGAACATTACAGAAATTTCCACCACCTTGTACAGTACCACTGAGAGTCTGAGCTTGAACATTCAAGAATGGAACTTTACCATTGTTTAATTTGAATTCTATATGTAAATTGTACAATTTTAAGTAAACATGTTTTTATCATTTTGTATAGCACGTTAAAGTCTAGTTTCCATTTGGTCGTTAGTTGTTGCTGGCACGACAAGTGGCTGATGTAATAGAGTGTCAACAAAAATTTACACAACTCTGCAATCATTAAGACTGATTTGCATATAACCCACAAAACGACTATTATATTAAACTATTTCACATCTACCGCTTGTCGTGCCAGCGACAACTAACGACCAAATAGAAACTAGGCTTAAAGATCTAAGCCTGGCCCCGAGCTAAAGCCTAGTTTCCATTTGGTCGTTAGTTGTCGCTGGCACGACAAGCGGTAGATGTGAAATAGTCTAATATAATAATCGTCTTTTTGTGTCTTATATGCAAATCAGTCTTAATGATTGCAGAGTTTTACAAAGTTTTGTTGACGCTCTATTACATCAGCCACTTGTCGTGCCAGCGACAACTAACGACCAAATGGAAACTAGGCTTAACTTTTACACCTCCTTGTAAGGCTTTATTTTAATCAATTTTTACAACAAATCAGAAGTCATAACTCTCTGTAATTGTTACTATAACTGCAAATGCTTGACCTAAATGGAAATAATGCACGTTATGTTTTCACATCGAAAAAATTCAGATTGTGATTAGATTCCGTCGGGAATGTACTGTTAGTAGTATATTTTATTATTTTCATGTTGTGAAATTGACATGCTTGGTTTTGGCAAAAATATCACTAATGTAAAACATTCCTGGGGATGTAAGTTGTACCTTCCAAACCCCGATCAGTGCAACAGTTATTGTAGTAATTTATGATAATTTCCTATATATATAATTGCTCCAAATCAAAGCAGAGTGTTAGCCAGAAAAAGTTTTGTCCGTTAAACGTAAATTGGGAAAGTTTTTTTGACCGATCAAAGTCCTTGAAATAGCATGCTACTTTATGTCATTTTGTGGCAACCATGGTGAGAGGAATTGAACTAACTCTCAAGTTTTTAGTTAAAACAAGATCTGTTTGGCAACGAAAATCGGAAATACCATATAGCTATCAATATAGGATGTTTGATCGTAACACCAGTAACACTCTTTCAGTTCTTTATTTACCTCGATCACGACCCGATGGCACTTCGTTTTACATATTTCATTTCCGGTGAATGAACACGGATGCACACTGATTGCACTTTGTTTTGTATATTTCATTTCAGTGAATACACACCCAATATGAATGAAACGCAATACATTTTGAGAAAATAGTTAATGGGAAAAAGTAAATAAAAATTCTTTGATATAATAATATAAAATCAAACGCAATGCACTTTCTCATCAGAAAAAATGAAAATCTTCCAGTAGACCCAGTTGGGAAAGCCCCTTAGCTACTTCAATTGAGAAGAGTTCGTCAAACGGACAGTATGTGGGCTAGCTAACACCCTGCAAAGATCAATTCCATTTTCCTGCCTGCCAAATATTAATATGTGTCCCTGAACCTATTAAAACCTCTACCAATATGTTGCTTCAGTTGGTAATTTCCTGCCAATTGTGCCTGCCAGGGCATGAGAGTTTCAAGAGCAACCTCTCAAGCTAACTCAGTCTTCTTGTTTGACCGGGGCTTAAGTTAACCCATATGTCAAAGCTGAAACTACTGCAATAATTGTACTTACAGTTACAGTAGCAATATAAGTGAAAAAATAGTTTTAATTTAAACTTTAAATAAATGTGTATTGATTCAATTGATGATATGTGTGGCAGATTGAATTTGGACATAAAGGACTTTAAAACATTAATTGACAAATACACTTTGTTCAGCTTTGTGGACTTGATTGATGATTGCTTTGACCCCCTCAGGCCTCACCCATACTGTATTGCAGACCATCTGAAGTCAAGTTTCCACAGCAAAATTAGTTTTCATCCCAATTATTTAACAATTGCAAATTCTGATATGACCTGCTCCTTCCTTCGCAGAACAGGTTTGAGAAGCGGGATGAAAGGTGTTGCCCCTTGTATGGTTTGGCTATTACTGTAGGAGGACCTCTGCTTTTCGGAATTTTTGCCCCACTGGAATTCAAAAAATCTGTGAACTGATCCCTCTGGAACAGTCATCAACCCCTCCCCTTTCACGTCACCGGAAAAAGCATTTTCTGGACCATTTTGGGGGGAGGGTGGTTCAGGTATTAAATATGATAGCCCAACCGTACAACTTGTACCTTACTGTTCCAGCATTTCAGCCCAACCTATTAACAGTGAGCCCAATATAAACAAAATGGGGAGAGCATGGTTACAGTGCAATTCCAGACTACAGAGTTGGGCACTTTTCAACGAGATCTCAGGTGTGCAAATGTTAGAAAATTAAGTGCAGGTGTACAAAACAGTTCCCAAGTGTGCATCGAGATGCAGTCAAGGGTACAAGTTAGAATAGCCAGATACATGTTATAAATGTAAGTAAAGCCCAGGTGTGCTGATGTTTCTGCCTAAAAAAATATTGAGTGTGACGTTGACCAACTCTGCAGTCTGGGTGGAATTCACTGACATGTCCCCATTTGAAAATTTGTCAGTGTTTTCTATGATCTTAAGAATGATATTTCCTGCACTAGAAATATGTAAGAAAGAGGTAAAGATTGGAATGCATATATGCTCTTGGAAGTTTGGAACATAATTGTAACTTCTTAGCTCTGCACCTCCCCCCCCTCACTTTGTTGGATTTTGACAAAAATTAGGGACCGGTCTTTAACCTGGGGAGGAGGGGGGGTGTGATAAATACCAAATATTGAACATTTTTTAGAGCCAGCCCCAATCACAAGATTTTTATTTTCAAGATGTCCCCAACTTAATCTAGAAAACTTAGGACCCCCTTCCAACATTTAATTCGTTACATTTATTGGTGTAAAATAAGTAATGGGACAAGTACTGGGGACCAGTATTCAAAACGGTTGTTATTTACTCCGACTCCTATGGTGAACTGCATATATACATAATAAACTATGGAAACTACGATTATAGAGGGGCCTGTACCGGTTTTGCGGGATGGTGATATGCGTCTAAAATTCAAGTGGGATTCGGGATTTTAAAAGAAATATTGGTCGGGAAGCGGGATTTTATTCCATGGTGGGAATTGGGATTAATCAAAATACCATGGCAATATGCAGGAAAGTTATCCACAATTAGCGGGATAAATCAACAAAACCTGCAGCCGTACGTTAGATGATCTGTTGTCATTTGTTTGTGTGCTCGAAATTTACTGTTTTCAAGGATGATATCGAACATTTCTCCCCCATTTACATGTATAATTGCTGCTTTCATAATAGTCGCGATTTAGAGTCATTTATTATTTTAAACTTTCCTGGTATTGTATTCTAGTGTCAAAAAAGTTGGGAGCGGGAAATTGGGATGAGGCATGGTGGTATAACGGGATTTGAAGTGAGAATTGGCCGGGATGGCGGGATTTCGGAACCCGGTACAGGCCCCTCATTATAGGGACTAAAATATTTTGAAAATGAGTAGGAAAGACTATTAGAATATTGGGGTCGCCCCTTGTCACATATTTTTAAGTTTGAGGCCACCCCCAATTCAGGCAAAAATAGTTGAAGCCGTCCACCTTTTTTCCACCACCTCCCCGCCTCCCATTATTAATGACCGGTCCGTGCAGTCCTAAATCGTATTTCCTTGCATAAAAAATGCGGAATTTGAACAATAGAAATACGGTGAGTCGTGAGATACTTAGATTTGCAAGACTAACTGTGAGACCTGGAGTTCAGCCCCAAAGCCACCTGAACAGTAATACTTGGTTTCATATGGACTATGGTCCCTTCAAACTACCTACCTGTACTCAAAGTTCTCATCATAGTATTTTTCAGAGTAGCATATCCCTGAATTTGAAGGCATATTTACTTCGCTCACCACAATTCAGATCAAAATCAAATCATTTCACACACAATTCATACGAGATTTTATAACAGTTCAACTATGGAAATATATAAAATTCATCTCCAGAACAAAACCGTTGAAATGTTCGATTTCAAAACCACGAATCTCTGATTTAGTGATTTTCTTTCAGTTACAAAATTAGAAAATAACAAATATACTGAAAAACCGCCAAAACTATTTATAGTTAAATACTTCATGTAAAATGGACTATAATTGTCCTGAATTATCGCTGGCACATAATTTTCCGATAAGAAAATTTCTGTGCTTCCATTTTCGTTGAAACTTGCATATTATTTGATACAAAATTATACAAAATAGAAAAAAATAGAACTATTAAAAGTCCAATTAATGCAATTTTCAATGAAACGTTTACATATATAAATATAACGAGGTTGACATTCCAACTCTCCCGATTTTCGCTGGAGCCTTCCGAAAATTCGTGCAATTCCCGATTTTTTATCACATTCTCCCGATTTTTTTAATTCAGGAAATCAGTTGTGAAAAAATCATAAACATACTGTTACTGTTTCTAGCAACATAATAAATAGTGAAGTTGCTTTATTAATGACGTACAATTTATGGGACACTTATAACAACATATTTCCAAATGCCATTCAAGAGACTTAATTTTCATTATTTTCCCAGAAGAACTGGATGTTTCTTTGGTTTGCAACTCACTGAACAGACATAACAGTCTGGCTAATTTTTAGCTCCAGTGGTTGGAATGTTTGTAATATTATACATTACACATTATATTGCCCGCCTGACCCTGGGTTCCTCTTTCACAAAAGCTATAGCCTGCGCTCATGCGGTGTTCTTATCATGTGTTCGTGTTCTTATAAATTTTATCCCAAGTTTAAAAATTCACCCCAACCCACAAATTGCAAAACGCTGAAACTTGAAACATCTGTGGAATAAAATGTGATATTTTGGGATGGCATTGGTAATTCATGGGAGTTTTGTTAAATTTAGGGAACGTTTTGCTGTCATGTATGTCACATTATTTTCTAATTTCTGACTGGTGCATGTAATCATACGTCTCCCGAAAAGGTAGTGTTGTAGTGGTTTAGTCAATTTTGTCAAACTATGCGGGGTGACAGCTGCTGTCCCGACGTCACAAAATAAAGCTCTCGGATTGGCCAAGATTTCAGTAAGCCTCAGCCAGCCAGTCAAAGAGCTTTATCTTGTGACGTCGGGTCGGCAACCGTCATCCCGCATAATTTTTCTTGCCAACCTTGGGGATATAATATACATGATGCAACGCTACCTTTTCGGGAGCCTATGGTGCAATTGATTATTCCGGATTTTTGATCAAATATTTGAATCTGAAATTTTTACGCCAAGTAGTATTATGTAGCAAAAATTCAGTTCAGATAAAAATAAACAACAAAAAGCATACGCGACGGAATAACAAATTTAATAATTTACATACATTGTATAATAATATATAAATAAAACATAAAATATTCGAGACATCGAATATTTTATTTTGAACTATACGTATGAGGTCGTATGTATTTAATCAAATCTCAAAATTGAATTACTTCTCCTAAAAGAATACCCATAATTTTATAATAAATAAATACAGTATAGAATAATTTAAATAACAAGCAAAATGAAATACGTACAACATTTTAAAACATTAAAGTTATTGAGATATTTCATTTTCATTAAAAAAGCAATGCAACAAACTCGACGTCATATTAAATCCATTTACATATAATGAGATATTTTTGAAACGAAATTATTTTAGGATTAGCAGAAATTTGAAGATTCAGGTAATTGGTGAACTTTTTCGCGGTTGTAGGAAGGCCGGAACGCAATAATTCACTGGATAGTGATTTTTTGAACCGCTGTAAAAATGTCTCAAAGGCTATAACACTACATCTATGGATCTCTAAGAAATAAAAAAACTTATTGGTTAATAGAAATCAACGACCAATTTTAAAAGGTTTGAAAAAAATCACTATCAAGTGGATAGTGCTAATCGGCCATCGTACAACTATAGCCCCTGAGGGTCACCGTAGAGCTTGTAACCTTGAATTACATCATGAATCACGAAGGGCTTGACTGTAAGTTGGTGGAGCACGTGTCGCTGCATCACGCGGTGTTGATGATGGATCATGACTGTTCGATGAAAATGTCGTCATAGGACGTCCCGTTTCCTGGGTATTATTATTCGAATACATTCTATTGGGGAGATTGGTTCCCGATCTCTGAAAAAATATTATAGACTACAGTTATTGTGTGAAGGTGATTGAGAACCATTTGTGTTAAGGGTATACTTTCTGGTAAAGTTTACAAAACATCGCAGGGCTTGTCCACCAAGGACGGATTTTACTGTAAATTATGCATGGGAGAAGTGGAAACGTTTTAGGGGGAATACGACGTCCCCCCTTCTAAAGTCAACAAATATACTAATATGCATTAATGCATATCAGTATATTTATGAATTTTGAGTGTATGACTACAAAGTTTGCACTAAAAGGGTACAACTAATTATAGTTGTTAACTATTGAATTTGAGTCAAATGTTGACTTTGATCCATCAAGGGGTGTGCATGAGAATATTCAGGGGGAGGAGCAACAATTCTCTGGTGCATGAGATGCAAAACGATCTCACGGGAGGTGTGCACCTCCCAAAACCTCGATTCAAAATCCGGGCATGCTTCTCCAGATACATTCGATTATTTGCAAGTACACATTTCATCTTAATGAAATTATATACCTGTTGACTTGAGGATTGAAATATTGAGAATGTATCGGTCGTGAAGACACCAATAAAATTATCAGGTGCATACGCGTAACCAGATGTCACATCATCTTCACTAGGCATCGAAATTCCAATCTAAAATAAATACAAGACAGCCCCTTTGATATCCAAGTTACCTTATATTAACAATTCGTGAAAAAGAACGCGTGTCGGCTTTGTATTATATAAACACCAAACGTCTGTTTTTGTTTGGTAAGTACGTCATTAAGGAATCACAGTCAACCAAGATGCATTGCGCGCTATGTGAATGTTTACAAATACGGGGAGCAAAACATAGTGTTGTGTTCGAAAATAGTCATACACAACAGGTAGGAAATTTGTCGTCGCTGACCAAAAAATCGCGGGCAGAAACAAAGCTCATTGCATTTACATTCAAAACAAAGCAGAAAGTTAGCAAGAAGCTGTTTTAGCTCTCGATTTTTTGCTTTCCATTCAACGATTTAGAAATTAACGGTTATTCTTTTAAAAGTCGATCATGAATTCTTTGTTTTGGGATGATTTGTTTTGTAATCGAGTGATTGGAAAAGTTAATATGGCGACGTGAACATGGGAGTAAATACCGTATACGTCGATCTGTGGATTGTTTACAACCGTAATAAACGAAGAAAGACGTGATATGAGAATGAAATGTAAGTTGAAAATATTAACTTTATATGCCTCAAATTTTCCATCCTATGTTTCTTAATGTAACTTCAGCTGTCTAAGTTCAAAATACAAGCTCGCGAAATTTGACAAATTTTGAAAATATGTAAAATAGCTTCAGCTGACTTTGAGCTGTATTTTCTCAAAAATAGCCCGTGGCCTCAATTTCAAATATAGCAAAATGAAATGAAAAAACTTTTCGGCGCTTGTAGGTATCAAACATATCATCAGGAAAATAGGGGCTCACAATGTTTTAGCTGAGTCTTTGAGACCCAGTTGCTTCGCACGTGTTGTGGTCAAATTTTTGCCAAGAATCAAAGGCCGAAATGTGAACTTCCTTCATGAAAACCGCTTCAAGAAGGGTCTAGTTTGAAAATTTAGCTCTTAATTTCGATTTCATGAGCATATTTTGGTTACACGTTAAATATTTTTGTGCTTGATGAGATTCAAAATTTGTTGTATATCCAAGCCCGGCTTTTGTGTAATTTTGGTGATGACCGGAACAGAAATAAAGATATTTTAAAAACTGGCCGTGGCCTCACGATAAAACTTTCTACAAATGTTCTCTGTTTCATGTACTTTTATTTGATATCTTAGGTATAAGCGTAAAAATAGGGGCTCATATAGTTTACGAGGTTGTAAAATGCATGACTTGCCTCTATTTTCATGTAAACATTCGAAATTTTTCGACAGCAAAGTAGCAAGTGTTTCAGATCGAATGCACACGGACGGCCCACCAGAGACAATGGCAGGGTACTGAAATAGAACGTCACTAAAAAATTCTGTATGATTAATTTAGATCCTGTCCACTTTCAACATAAAACAGTCATTTATTTTGTACAAACATTTGGCAATATTTACACGATTGTGCCTTTTTGTAAACACGCGTTGCGTGTATTCCTCGCAATTGCGTGGCTCATTTTACTCGCGCATGCTCAGACAAATTTCCCACCTGTTATATACATTAGCTTTATTATATAAACAAAAAAACTTTAATACATTTACCCTGATTCATTTACCCTGATGAAATCCTAATTCCTGCCCCATCGCCTACTACGTTCACACAATTCGTCCATGCTTTGACGGAGCAGGATTTCGGCGAACTCGTAATGCGAAAGCCCCTGTATTCCATGGCTTTCTTTCCTTTCCGTCCAAAGGACAGTTGTTCAAATATCGTTGAACTTGTCAACGATATTATTTTTTATATACCCTCACTTGTTGGTCTTCCACGAACGGCAAATACAGAAGCCATGATTAGTCACTACTTTATAAAATGATAAAACTTTCTAAAATCATTGATTAAGATAAATACACACGCCAAAATATCAATCAATGATATATTAACATATTCCAACTATAGAAAATATGACATTTTCTAAGAATAATTAATGCAGATTGATAAGGATACGATTCGGATGTCAATATTTCGTCAATAAACTGGCTAACAAAATGGCGGAATACAAAACAATGAAAACATTTTAGCGCGCAATGCATCTTGATTGACTGCGATTCTTTAATGATGTATGTGTGACGTAACGGTTATGTATGTGTGACACACCATTACATATCAAACATACTGAAATAGAAGAAAAAACGGACATTTGGAAAAGAGATTATACTTTTTAAGGCTGCGTCCAGTCACGCGTTTTTATACGGACGGAAATGTTTAAATCTTCTTAAATTAAACACTAGTATGAATTACCTGTACAAATGCACATTAAATCATTCACAAAACTATATGTTTTCCTTTTATTCATTCAGTTATTTCATAAGTAACATTTAAAGATATTTCAACTTTTGCGTGCGTATACGCACGTATAAAAAACGCGTGACTGGAAAGCGGCCTTTAGTTTTAAATGTTCTTTCCAATAGACCATATTCATAAATCGCATTCGAGGCCTCGTATCCTAGGAAACTGGAAAAATCGCGGGAAAATTGATTTTTGAAAAAAATTTGCTGCCCGCTATTGCAAGAGTAATAAAAAAGTTCACTAAAAACGAACGGCTTTTTTCGAAAATGTATCTATAAAACTGAATATGAAAGTTGAAATAATACTGCTGAGAAAATATAACGTGCATGATATTTAACGTAAAAGATGCTGGGGTAAACCGGAAAAGGAAACCTTAGTGTCAAAACAAACAACCAACAAGGCTACAAAACGTCTAAAAAATCGTAAGAAATATGAACTATTGTTGAAGAAATAAGATTACAACTCACTCAGGTAATGTAGCCTTAAAGTTTATTTTTTAAACTTGTAAACTGCTTGCAGAATGTCTTCGAGCCACAGGGATTTTTCCATGCGAATCAATAATATTTGACATTCTCTTATGAATTTTGACCTTGTTTTCTTTCATATTAATGTTAAATTCGAAAAATTATACTTTCAATCCATGCATAGTTGTCTTGATTTTTCACGGAATAACCTATATATTGACGTTAAAATCTAAGTAAATACTGTTGTTCGTTTCTGCATGGATAGACACCATTGCTATACGTCAAAGAGGAGAGATATATCTCTCCTCTGTGGCTACGTTGTCATATTTTTACCTAATTCCACACAAAAAACGGGGGGAAACCGCTCGTTTTTATAATATACTCGTTTACAGCTTTCCTTGTGGGCACAAAATCTTACTACACACACAAAGCTATATAAATCGAAATAAGCAACAAGACACAACTGAAGCCGTTCATGTCGACACAATGGCGTCTGAATTTGGCTTGTCAAGTAGCCTGCGTGGCAGGCCCTCAGTTTTATGGGGGGCCTGATTTGCAACGGGCAGATAAAACTGAGGGCCTGCCACGCAGGCTACTTGTCAAGCAGCTTTCGCTTATTTTCCCGCATTTATTCCCATTTTCTAGGATATGAGGCCCCGATTGCGATTTATGAATAAGGTCTATGATGAGACAATAAAAACATTGGAGTTAGAGGCACTGACTTTTCTGATAGGCTGCCTTAATTTCCTTGGTAATTATAGAGTTGAAGCTTAGCGAACTCTGACGTCCACTATCTATATTGTATAAAACCATTTTGAAGCATTTGATCGGTCGAAAGTACCGAGAAAGTTGTTGTGATGCATGTAGCGTTCAATTTGATACTGTAGCTACGCGCTTGGATTAATATCAGAAAATGAAATTCATAGAAAATGAAGAAGAACATGATTTTCATAGAAACAGTTTAATGTAAGTTATAGCCTAGCTTCTAAGTCTAGTAGGTTCATTCAATTTACAAAAAATACGTTGTGTAAGTCGAGAAAATCAAAGTTAAAGTTTATGTAAATCAAGGTAAATCTCTATCACATATAAAGATACGACACGCTTATATGATTTTTCTTTGTGTTTTCCTCATGAATTATTAATGAGTTTTTGAAAGTAAGTATTAAAGGTTCTGTTTTACGTAATTAGTCAAAGCCATTGCAATTGGACATCGATTTTACATTGGAGATCAATTGCGGTTCACCGACAAATCATGGCATAACTGATATTGTTGCAACTTTGTTACAGAGTTTTTCAACTAACATGCAAAGGCTTTCAAAAATTAGTGGGGAGGAGTTGCCCCTTGTCCTCACTCGTGTCCGCCACTGCATGTGGCTTATATACATGGATAAGCTAACATCACAACACGAAATTTAACAAATTACTTACCTGACACGTTCTCATGTGAAAGGGAAAGTTCGTATTGGCTGCAGCAGGACGGGTAAGAATCTAGATATAAAGGAAACGTGGATTTAAAGAATGAGTGTCACTCCATGGTGTCGCGCGGGCTTTTGTTATTGTTTTATTGCTCTTATCTTTTCCAGAATCAACAAATAACGATAAAAAATACTTGTTTGGTACATTTCCAACACGAATCAGATAAAATTCAGAGATCCCCAGGACAATGCACAGTTGATAAGACAAATGATAAGTAAGCAATAGCCATTGCAACAAGATTGGGTGTATCTTCTGATAAAGATTTATATTATGATACTCATTCGTACGGAATAGACCCATTGCACTGACGTCACAAATCCTTAGAGTGTCCTCCAGATGCTACCTAACAATATCTGTTCGGGTACAACAACCACATACAGCGAAAAAATTAACCATTTTAATACAAAATTATTATAAACTTTTACAAAATTTGCTTTGTTTACAAAAGTTATATTATGCGTAGATTGCTAATTTGTCCTCCAGGGGCCGGTTGTATCAAGCCCGTTTAGCTTAAACGGTGGATAAGTCAAAATTAAATAACACTCTTTTTTCTCTCGTAAATCAGTTAACTTAAATATTCTGCACTGAATATGTAGTTGTAAACATTATCGTTCTATTAAGGTTCAAAACTTTTAGTTTGGTTGTTGAATGAATCTATAGACTTGCTTTCTATTTTGAGCTTAACCACCGTTTAAGCTAAACGGGCTTGATACAACCGGCCCCTGATGCATCGTTACTGACGCTGTGACGTCATGTGCAATGGGTCTATATACGAAATAAGCACATGACTATGCAGTACAAGATGATCATATAGCTATATACATGGTGGGAATTTTTCACCAAACTAAGCACACTAAAGTAACTTACCAAAAAAATTGCGTGAGCCAAAAAGGATACTCCCCATTCAATACCATTAACAATTTGTTCTCTATATCAACGAGAAATTTCAGGACAATGATGTACTATATTTAAAACACGCACGAGCAGGAGCGCTTTATCAGATATAAGGCACGAGAGCGCAGCTCGAGTGTTTTATATCTGATAAAGCACGGACTGCGAATGTTTTAAATGGCTTAAAAAACGACCCATCTGACGAGTACATTGGCGAAGTAATTTTAAAAATAAACGTTTTCTAAGCCGAGAAAATCAAAGTTAAAGTTTATGTAATTGAACTTGTAATGAGTTTTTATCGTATATAAAACCAACGACACGGTATATAGTGATTTCCTTCGTCTATAAATATCTTGTTATACACTAATGTTGTTTTAGTACGGTGTTTTATGTTTAGTTCTAACTTAGTTTTAGTTTAAACCACTAATTTATTGTTATTTCTAGTTTGGCTCCAGTTTGAAAGAAGAATTTCAATTCAGATTCAGTTAAGTTCTAGTGTGAAACAAGAATTTCATTTTTTTTTTGTTAAGTTCTAGTTTGAAACAAGAATTTCATTTTTTTTTTGTTAAGTTCTAGTTTGAAACAAGAATTTCAATTTATTTCTGGTTAAGTTCTAGTTTGAAAGAAGAATTTCAATTTAGTTTTAGTTCAGTTTTAGTTTGAAAGAAGAATTTCAGTTTAGTTTTAGTTTAGTTCTAGTTTGAAACAAGAATTTCAATTCAGTTTTAGTTTAGTTCAGTTCTATACTTTGAAAAGAGAATTTCAATTAATTTTTAGTTAAGTTCTAGTTTAAAACAATTTAGCCTTAAAAATAAGAGTTTCCCAACTATACTTTATCGATGTGGTTGGTTTTATTTAGCCGTGAAAATCGAGCTAAATTTCATACTAAATCAGGATAAATCTTCATCCGATTTACAAGTACTAGATAAAACATGAGCAGCCGATCTGTATCTGATATACAAACTCGAGCCGAAGGCGATAGCTTGTATATCAGATACAGATCGGATGCGACTTAAAAAATGACCCATCTTATGAGTTCATTGGCGAAGTAATTTTAAAAATAAACATTGTCTAAGACGAGAAAATCAAAGCTGAAGTTTATGTAAATCAGGACAAATCTTTATCCGATTTACAAACATTGATTAAACATTAATTTCTTTTGAATTTTCGTCATGAATTATTAATGAGTTTATAATTAAAATATATGCTCGGTTACTGTTTGTTTCAGTTCGAGTTGTAAATATTTCGTTGTTGTTTGGTTTAGTTCTCAGGGGATAAAAAATTGTTTACTTTTAGTCGCTGACATATATTTTGTTTTAGTTAAAGTTTAGTTCTACTATTTATCTCTAAAATTACTTTAGTTCTAGTTTAGTTTTATCGGAGTAAATTATTTTGGCATGACTAAAATAGGGTTTTAGTTTTATAGTTCTAGTTGACTAAAACAACACCATCATACACTCTAAAAACACTCTCACTGTTAAAATTTCCTGGTTAACCTAGAAATAACACTATTTGGGTTATGTAATATTGTTGGTTAAATTTCCTGGTTATTTTATCTCACCTCCTACCATAGTCCGGTTAATGTAACCAAGAATCTGATTATACAGTATTTGACCAGGTCTTCCAGGTTAGATTAACCATACTATTTTAAGGCCGATGTACACTACACAACTTTTGAACTAAAGTATTTTGGAGTATTCTGTTTCCTTTTGTTTTCCCCCGTAATATTGGCCTAACTTTGACATTTAACCAAAACATAAATTGAAACTAAAAAGGTTTTTCTGTCATCATCACCATCACCATCTTCATCAACCATCACCATCATCATCAACCATCACCATCTTCATCAACCATCATCATCCTTCATCAACCATCACCATCAACCATCTTCATCAACCATCCCCATTAACCATCTTCACCAACCATATTCATCAGCTATCACCATCATCATCAACCATCACCGTCTTCATCAACCATCACCATCTTCACCAACCATCACCATCTTCATCAACCATCATCATCAACCATCAATCATCTTCATCAACCATCACCATGTTCATCAACCATCACCATCAACCATCTTCATCATCATTATTATTACTAGTGATTAGCAACATGATGATAATCGCCAGATGCCGATTAGCTGGTTATTTAGTATATCGGTTCTCAATGTCAGCAATTGGTAATTTTTGTGATCGGCTCATCTCTAGTCAAGATGCATTGGCATGATAAAACACAAATATTCAATTGTTCAAACCTTTGATAATCTTCAATTACGTACGCAGCAAAAAGAACAACGGCAGGGCCAACAAGAAACCTATAAATTAATAACGATTTACATTAACAGGGAAGGGCAATATAAAAAAATATTTTTGTCTCATTTGATTAACAGAACTTGGTTGGGTTACTCGATAGAAAAACCAATTTTGTAGTTGACACGTATATATAGCGTAAATCGTCTGTTGAGGCCAGGGGGGCATTTTTACGGTTTCGACGCCCGAAAAACTGTATGTTCCAAATTTTTACACAGTTAATTATTAAAAGGAATCGAGAATTTATTCAAAGAGATAAATTTTGACACAACGACTATTAAAATTGACCTAGTAAAACCAGTGAGTTTTATGGCTGTTTTAAACTAAAGTCTGGTTCATCCAATAGACCATTGGAATCTTGCATAGTTGTGTTAAGAAGTATTAATAGTTTGATATAATGCCTTAATTTAAACTGCCCACTACAGTACTGTATATGCATGTAAATGCTAAAATACTTACCATCCAGAATATAAAACCCAAAATGGATAGTAAAATGCTGTTTTCTTAGGAAAATGTTTGAGCGTAAAGAACGTAGCGTAACAAAACCAAACCCACGCCTGTATAATACAATAAATAAGGCATGATTGTAAATCCCTGGGGCCGGTTGTTCAAAGCTGGATTAGCGCTAAGCCCTCGGTTAAAATTTAACCTGCTCTTTTAGTTTATGCATTTCTGCGCGTCTGTTTATTTCGAAACTTCAGAGGAGAAAACTCCTACCGATCCAAACAATCTTTCGGAAGAAATAATTCCATATTTGTAAAAAAGATGTAAGGAAGTTTGCTTCGAATTTTAGGTTAACCCAGGGTTAAGCAAATCGGCTTTCGAACAAGCGGTCCCTGGGTCAAACAAGGATGAGAGTTGGTGAGTGTTGAGAAGCGAGTGTTTACACGAGAGTTTTCTCAACTCTCACACCCCAGCCACACGAGAACGAGAGTTGACTGGATATTACAGGTGAAACGAGAAAAATTATCAACTCTCATTAAAATTTGAACCAGCTTAAAGCTGACGTACATGGTAATGCAAGCAATATTACGTACCAAAACTCTAAGAATACAAATACCAATTCCAGCTGGACTTTCATAAATATACAGAACTTTTCCCGGATCAAATATCTGCAAAGGTAAAAATCAAACAAATTTAATGGCGCTGTGCAGTAACACACTCGAAACAAAAGCTAAACACATCGAAGTCTCGACTTAAGCCCCGTTTACACTACGCTCAATTTTTGGTACGGCACGGATAAAATTGGTACCCGTACCACTTTTTTGGTTCTTGGACTACCTATTTAGCTAAGCCCCGTTTACACTACGCTCAACTTTTGGTACCGTACCACTTTTTGGTTCTTGGACTACCTAAATAGGTAGTCCAAGAACCAAAAAAGGGGTACGGGTACCAATTTTATCCGTGTCGTACCAAAATTTGGGCGTAGTGTAAACGGGGCTTTATTTACATATTGGGCTGCAAAGAATCCAGTAAGTTTATTATTTATTTAAGATTCATGGTTTCTGATTAGCGAACAGTCAACTGTGAAATCGTCATATCAAGTCAACAGTTGACCAAATATGGATAATAATATTAAACGGAGTGACGTCATAACGTTGAATATAAATATGAAAAAGTCATATTCAACGCAGTGACGTAATAAAGCCCCGTTTACACTACGCTCAATTTTTGGTAAGGCACGGATAAAATTGGTACCCGTACCACTTTTTTGGTTCTTGGATTACCTATTTAGGTAGTCCAAGAACCAAAAAGTGGTACGGTACCAAAAATTGAGCGTAGTGTAAACGGGGCTTAGCTAAATAGCTAGTCCAAGTACCAAAAAAAGTGGTACGGGTACCAATTTTATCCGTGCCGTACCAAAAATTGACCGTAGTGTAAACGGGGCTTAAGTCTTCGGCTTTGGTTGATAACACAAACTTCATATGAAATTTTCACATGTGAAATGAGGTTTTCATAATGTGAATTAAGGTTTCACATGTGATTTGATTCCACATATGGGAAATTCAAATGTGAAACACTATTTTCACATATGAAATTTTTATTTCACATGTGAAATTCACTGTTTCACATTTGAAATGAACGTTTCACATGTGACATCATATGTGAACTTTTCGTAACGGAACGCTTTGTCCGTCTTATTTATCCGCCTGCATAATGTGAATTTAACACGGGTTTCTCATCTAGATGGATTCCCGTCTGTTTCGACGGAAAGTTTCCACGGAAAAGTTGAGACAGATAGCTTGTTAGCAAGTTGTAACATGTAATGTTATTGTTAGCTTGTCGTTGTCAAGTTGCTGCAAGACATTCACAACCTCTTACCACGTTGTTCGATTCCAGGACGATAACAAGTTGTTGGAACAAACTTCTAACAAGTCTGTCGGATCAACAACCTTCTTGTAGCAAGTAAGAAAGTTGTCAATAAGCCGTTGGTAGGTGTGTAGTGGAAGAATACAGTTTATATAATAACTACAGTGAAACATGCAATTTGATTGGTCAATAGCCGTGCAGGATCAAGCTATCCTGCACGAGGAATTAAAATGCCTTCGCGGGATTTTCGCGGGATTCTCAAAATGTCATTGTTTCACTGTAGTTATTTTATAAAACAATTACCAAATGGTTTTCCAAGCAGGATAGCGTGATCCATGCACTTGGCATGTTGCTCGACTTTCGGAAAGTGTAAAAATACACTCGCCTGCGGCTCGAGTATTTTTACGCTTTCCGAAAGTCTCGCGGCATCCCTCGTGCATGGATCACGCAATCCTGCACGGAAAACCATTCGGCATTCCTTTAATACTTACAATTTGTTCATAGATGAAAAGAATGACGAAACAGAAGCAATATAATGTTGAGAAAACAGAAAGTTTGACTTGCCCACTTGAACTAATTCGACCTCTAGAAATTAGATTGTGAAATCTGTTAATTTAAAATTGTACTGTACGATTTTGCAAATTTGGAAAAATTTTAATAGACGGCACAACGTGACGGCACAAAATTAAACTTTAAGGCTGATTATCTATATAGAAAGCTTCGCAATGATAGGGATGCAACTACATGAAAAATACAAGTCAGGAGAACTATATAGTCAGGAGAAATTAGCCTCATGAAACCCATCTCAAACTTTGCCCTTCAACGATGTGTTTTTCAAGTAGTTGCATCCCATCAATCCGAACCTTTCTTATTATTGCACGGTGAGGTAAAAGTTCAATATCAAACAAAGGTCTTCTATTTTGGGGTTTTGAAGTTTTCCGGGCTTCCAGACCATCATATTTTGACAGACCATGCCGTAAGATTGGAATCGACAAAATGTTTATTTTATTTTATTTCTCCTTCAGTTACATCATAGCCTATCGAAGGGAAGATGGCTGTGAAACTCATTAGAATAACAATATAACTCATTAGGCGTAAAAAAAGTACCTGTGGGTCCGGTTCCCAACCGACCCTATTTTTTTCTGCCGACCCTATTATTTTTTCAACGCGATTGACCGTGCGACCCTATTTTCTCCGGGTGGTTGCGGGCTGCTGCCAAAATGGCGTCTGTTGTCACACTAATTATTGAAAAAACCAAGAAAAAAATGTAAAAAAAATTATTTCCGACCTACCGACCCTATTTTTTTCGCGATGTGAAACCGGAACCACAGGTATTTTTTTTTACGCCTTATCTAGGTTGGTCAACGTTTATTCGTAAATCGGGTCCTTCACCGTCACGTGTGTATTGTATTCTTGCCCAATTAACCAATAGCAATGTTTTAGGAAAGTCACCTATCCGTGACTCGAACAATAGGGAAACTGGAGATTGCTATTGGTGGATTTGGTAAAAATGCAATACACACGTGACGGTGAAACGACCAGATTTATGAATAAACGTTGACTAACATAGATAATGAGTTATATTGTTATTCTAATGAGTTTCACAACCATCTTCTCTTCGATAGGCTATGGTTACATAAATGTGAAAAATACGGTTAGTGACGTCAGAATTATTCATAAAAGCCTCTGCAAGCAATTTTGTTAAATTTTGGTACAAATTCGACCGAATGATGGGAAAAGAGTTTCTCGAATTTTATTCTCACAGATCCCTCATTATCCCTTTCATCAACTCCAAATAGAAATTTAATAAAATTTTGGGGGGTTTCACTCGAGTTTCAAGGGCCGGTTGTTCAAAGCACGATTAGCGCAAACCCTGGGTTAAATTTGACCCATTGCTTTGGTTTATGTATATATCTGCAATTCTGCATATTTCTGTTTATTTCAAAACTTTAAAAATCGAACTTCTGATGATCCAGACAAGATTTGTCAAAAATACTTCCAAGTGTATTTATATTTTTGACAAAGTGATTGTTCGAGGTAAATCTATTGGTTGAATATATGAAACGACAACTATAGACACACCTCGTTACGGTCCAGCCTTTCGCAAGAAGTATGAGCATTATCAAAAACACTATGTGTCCAATATAATGAATAGCTTGACCTAAAAAGAACGATAATTAACGTTCAACAGAGAAACAACAGGATTATACCAACATATCTTCAGAGGAAATTTTCTTACATCTTGTCATTTCATTTACTGCATGGAATGCCATAATTTTTACACATTGTCTATATACAAAATCGTTTTGGACGTCGAGATTGTCTTGAACCGATAATGAGGTTTATCCGTGCGGCACCATACAGTTATAGCCACATGCAGTTTGTAGCAATAGAGTACGCCGGATTTTTCGGCATACGTTGTAGCCACGGCTTTGCAGGATTTGGCTATAAACTATGGTGTCATGGGCGGTACCTCAGCTGCATGCAGAGGAATATAGCAGTTTCTAGAATGTATAGGTACATAAAAATCCAGTATATACCATACAGTGTTCAGTTACTTTAATTATTACCGCGGCTACAAAGTATACGAGTCATGAAATTAGAGTCACGGTTTGTGGCTATAACGTATACGTCTACTTTCGGCATGCCTCACTGTTCACTGAAATGTACATATGCAGGACGTTTTATATTTGACTTGCACAGGAAATTTTTATTTTTGAAATTTGCTGCCAGAAGAGAAATATATTATTACGCCTGGGGGCGGTTGTTCAAAGGTAGATTAGTGCTAACCCAGGGTTAAAATTTAACCCACTGTTTTAGTTTGCATATTTCTGCATGTCCATTTATTTCAAAATATCAGAAAAGAAAACTTCTATTGATCCAGACATGATTTGTGAAGAAATATTTCCAAATTTATAAATTTTAGCTGGGTTAGTTACAGTAGGTCAGCCAAATTACTGTTCAATTCTGCATGCGAACCGTCCTGAATATCTCGCTAACGCTATCCCGGGTGTATATTAAATAGAGCCTGACACAAACCTAAATCTGGTCGCTCTCTCCTCACAGTATAATATATATTTAGTAACCAATCAAAATGTCCCAAGAAAAATGACAATCTCGCGCAATAACAACATCTAACTATAGTTCAAACGACTAAATATATCTATGAACAATAGAATAATCAAACTAGCACTAACCAATCAGAACACAAATTTTTTTTTTTTTCTGATACACCAAACAGACACGAAAAGCAGAATTTGTGTCAGGCCCTCTTTTTCCTTCCAACCATGCAAAAAACAGAGCCTGATATGAACTCAAGCTATATGAACACGGGAAATGACGACTGAGTTCGCAGAGCAGCCTAAGAAAAGGTGGGTTCGTCGCACGTTTTGTGATAAAAGACCGAAAACAATGATTACATTTAATAAAAAAACGAATGCGGGCGCTGATGGATGAACCGGGATATATTTTACGCAGCCTAAATTCAATCATTTATTTACAAAAAACTGTAAAATAACTCACCAAAAACTTTGGTTGTAAGATCAGGTTTCCCATCTAGCCCGTAATTAGTGTAATAACTTATATACAAAACCAAGGACAAAGCTACATGAATGAAAGACGAAAAATGCATGTGAACAAGTATATTTAACAATTATTCACCGAAGTGGAGGTGAATAGTGCAAAGGTATATTCAGCTCCTACTAGCACTACTCGCACTACGTCTTCAATTTCCGCCATCATGGCAAGGATATATATATATATATATATATATATATATATATATATATATATATATATATATATATATATATATATATATATATATATATATATATATATATATATATATATATATATTATTTTAACTTAAAATTGAGTCACAACTCTGAGTTTCACGCTGAGTGCGATCCACTCAGCGTGAAACTCAGAGTTGTGACTCAATTTTAAGTTAAAATACTATTTGCTCTGTTAAATTCTTGATGTTGAGCACTCTTTTTATACAATATAATTGAAATATTATTATTATTATTATTATTATTATATATATATATATATATATATATATATATATATATATATATATATAGTATATGCAAAGCTCACTTCCCTTGTGGTCGTTTGAGCACTCTGGCCCCATTACGCTCTGCTCATGTCTGGATGCGCTGAGTCACCGTGTTGTACCACATGCCTTGGTGAGAGCAAGTTCATGGGGTATAAATACGAGTGTCTCACGTATGTAGACGTGTACCAAGCTGCACTGACGAGGCGTTGTACGCCGAAACATGCATGTCTGCAGATTGTACTATATATAATTATATATAATTATATACATATATAGATTAGAAGACAAACTTGAATTACTTCATATGAACTTTATTTCACCTCAAATTTGTTTCGTATGACAAAACGAGTATTGCCACACTTAAAATTAAAAAAAAAATTCACCTGATGAATAAGTTAAATTCACCTGATGAGTGTGGCAGGACTCGCCTTGTCATACGAAACAAATTTGTATTGAAATAAAGTTCATATATAGGAAGTAATTCAAGTTTGTCTTCTAATCTTATTAGCTCTACTACGGTATTGAGCACTTTACTCGTATATGATTCCAAACTCGATACTTGTCTATATATATATATATATATATATATATATATATATATATATATATATATATATATATATATATATATATATATATATATATATATATATATATATT